TCACATGAAATTTACAAGGAAGTACAGAGGTCGATTTTCAATTGTAAAAGGGCATGAATCCCATATATATATCAATAGATTGACTTCTTTGAGCTACTTTTTAGTTAAAACCAATTGGTTATTTTAATCTTTATGCAGTCCATCCGGGTTTTTTTATTATTATTCATATGAAATTTATGTAAGCGTCCTTGGATTGTAAAAAATGTGCAATCATCTGTTAGTAATTACTATATTTAGTTCGATAAAAAGTAAAGGGTATTTAAATGAGCGGTTTTACTTTAGACTTATATTTGAAAGTATATTTTTGGATGTGCTTAGTCTAGGTCATTATAATTTACACATATGTATATCGGCAATTCACAATAGTTTGATTTGCCATGAATAATGTCATAATAAAGCCATGCTGGAATCTCGTTGGAGGTTGTTTAACCTCAATATTCCATAGTTTGTGAATTTTGTGTTGACGGCAGACCATCATGGGTTGTTTCAATCTCCGGCGCAGAGTTCATATCAGTTTCATACATGATCCGCAAAACTGCACTTAATATGACCTCAGAGGTCATATTGAGTGGGTGTCTGATGATGGAAGTTTTTAACGACCTTGACTGGCTATACAGCCCTCGCACGGTCGGGAGTGGGTGTTCTCTGGCTATTCCTACATTTTGTACTATTCCTGCATGGGAGATTATGGGAAGAACAATAGATGTTGTTATTGCAAAATATGTTGTTTTAGTCATTAGTGTCTAATTAGGTCACAGGTAACTTTACCTGTGAAAATTGAATAAAAATAATTATTTATATGAAATTTATGTAAAAAAATGTTTTTTTTTTTTTTTTTGAAAACATGGATCAAGTGTTATAATTAAGTGTTTCTAATATGGAAGTTCTTGAAAAATAAATTTTTTTAAAAGAAAAAGTAGTAAAAGCATTTAGTAGTCTGGAAAATAAAATTATTTAAAAGAAAAAGTAGAAACAGCATTTAAAAGTCTGGAAAAAAAACTATTTAAAAGAAAAGTTAGTTAAAGCATTAAATAGTAACCTACACTTTCAACTTTAGCTTCAAAGATTTAATTAATATTATCATTTGAATAACAAATCATTTAGAAGGTTGGCATAGTAAACTGAAGAAGTTAGTCAATGCACCTCACCCAAACATCTTCAGCATGATCAAGTTGTTGAGACAAGAAGAAGCCTTCCATGCTATCACACTTATCCAATACAGGAAACGTGTTCCAAGAAAGAGAAAATACAGAGAAATAAATGACAGACTTTATGACGTCTTTACTCTAAATTCATTTGATGTTGGATTCGTACTGATTGATATTTTAGTCTTAGATTCATGATTTTTTTCTGAGTTGTTATTGGCTTTGAACTAGCTGTCAGTAACTGCGAGTACTCTCAGATCTGTACTTAGTGTCATTTTGTTGTGGGGATGTATAAGTACCCGTTCACGTCCACTCTGTGTTTTTGTTAGATGTTTTTCTATTTGTATCCATCTGATGAGTTAAGCCCTTTTCAACTGATTTTTATGATTTGTTCTTATGTTGTACTGTTACACCACTGTCCCAGGTTAGGGGCAGAGTTGGCGCCTTCAAACGAGTTTAGCCCCGCCACATTCTGTATGGCCCTGTCCCAAGTCAGGAGCCTGTAATTCAGTGGTTGTCGTTTGTTTCTGTGTAACATATTTGTTTTTTGTTCATTATTTTGTACATAAATTAGGCCGTTAGTTTTCTCGTTTGAATTGTTTTACATTTGTCATTTTATTATTTTGAATATTATTTACACAAAATGTGCTATGAAATTATTAAATAAAATATTGTAATAGAAACTATTCTTTTTCTTTATTTTCCACAAGATTTACCTGGATTTACCTTGGTTCATTAGTTTAGTATTGTTACAACATAATCCTACATAACCCCGTTGTTTATATAAAAATTCTGGGAACTCCAACATAAAATCTTTCTATTTTACCCATATTTTCAAAATGTAGGAATAGCCAGAATAAACCATTGAGTGTAGTGTTACGTAGTATTGAACGGAACGGACATGATCTCTGCGCCGGAGATTAGGGATGTTTCTGTTAAATCTTTCATAACTTTTTAGACTCATGCCGATTAGGATGCTGATGATGGATGGCTATTTAATGTCCAGTGGCAAAATAAATGCATATTCAGGACGAGAACATGTTCATGTGATATGAAACAAACCCTGCTTTGTACTAGACCGACAGCTGAGCAGGATCTTTAACGTAATAGTTCACGTGGGAACAGTCCACAGGAAGACATGTCACCATAGCCGAACACAAGCCAACTAGTCTTTCCTTTTACTCCTGAATACCGCGTGCTCAACGGAGAATAAGCAAATACAAATGTCCAAGTCTTTGCTCAGGAAGATTTAAAGCTATGCATAATTATTGTAATTAAACCTGTCTAGAGTTGAGGACTGTATGTTGCACTCTGGTTTTCCCACAGAAGCGAGATATATCAGGAGAAGCAATGCTCTGTGTATTGACAGTAACTATAGACAATTCTATACTTTGAATAAATGAACCCGACTTGGTTTCCTGTCGAGTAGCATTATTTTATAGAGATGATACTATATAACATGCGTTATTGATCATATTTTTTTTTTTTGCTTTACGCTAATCATTACAAAGTATTTTACCAAAAGAGAAAAGAAGAAATAATAGTACTTTCCGTACACAAATGCTTAATTTAGCAAACTTTCTTTTACGTCTCAGAAGAGATAAAATACAAAATTGATTATAATCATTCTTTTTACTGAATTACAAATTTTCTAAATTAAATTGCATGGTGTAATTATAATGGTAACTCAAGGTACTTGGATACTAGGATATCGCAACTTGAGGGGAAATTAGATTCAATGGTAACACGAATTGAAAACGTAGAACAGAAGTGCGAAATTGTGTTTAACCGAAATAAAATGATCGAAAAAAAGGAGAACAAATGGGTACGGTTGTGCATAAAATTATAGATCGCTGCAAAGAAAATATGTCGAAAATATCATTGTTAGAAGAAGCAAAAAATGATAAAGAAAACACATTCGATATAAAAGTCGTCAATGAGCGATTGACAAATATTGAGAGCGATGTCGAAGAGTTACAATGGAGATCAATGACTAACAATATCATTATATCCAGAATAAAACAGGAGCCAAATGAGGATACAGAGTACACTGTAATGGATTTTATCCGCAAAAAACTTGGAATCGGTAAAAATATCAAAGTTCGTTTCTGTACATCGTTTTGGAAAGCAAAGACAAAATATTCAAAGAATAATGGCTAAATTTGTATCTTTGAAAGATAAACAGTTAGTAATGAGGAACTGTCACAAATTAAAGGGGGCAAATATTTCTGTCAGAGCACAATTTCCGGTAAAAATTGAAAAGAAGAGAAAAAACCTATATCCTGTGTTAAAGCAGGCAAAAAAAACCGAAAGAAAGCTGTATTGGTAAGAGATAAACTTTTCATAGAAGGGGAATTATACGAACCAAACGATGACAGAGAACCAAAACACACGGATTACAAAGAAATCCAGAACAGAAACACCCAAAATCTTGAAGCAGATAGTTTATCTGATAAAAGTCCATTCATTAATTCAACCCGACCCAGTGATTTTTACCCATGGAATCGTCCGATACCAAAACAACGGAAAATTCTGAAGCGGAACAGAATCAATTCTGACGAACCTGATTCGTAAAGCCTGGTCAACATAAAATCAATGCGAAGTGCATGAACTGTATTAATAATCTATCTTTAAAATTTTATTCTACGCTAGTACTATCCTGAACTTATTTCACAAATACTGAAAACCTCTTTTTCACCCGTAGTGATAAAAGGGTTGCGTTGTTTTTTATTTGTAATATTAATTGACCAATTTATTATTTTGTATACTATATTATGTTGCTCTTGTTGCACACAATGGTGCCTGAGTGTATTAATAAACTCGTAGATTACTGTAAGCGTCCAAACTCCGAAACAGTGGTGACGTTGCTTCGCTAAACTATCATATGTGAGATGCTTATTCATCCCGACCAAATGATATAATCCCGGGTTTTTGGTCGAGTTCGTATTGCTCGTCTCAAGTTTTCTAATTAGTGTTTATAGACTGTTGTCTTTTATTTTTTGACATGGTATTGTCAGTTTTTCTATGACAAGTATTTGTTTTATCCCTTAAGTACCTTCTGCCTCATTTAAGCAGTCTTCAACAATAGACAGTTGTCTTTTCTATATGTCTAGCTGTAAATCTTCCCGGTTATATGAAAGTTGTAAATAAATTCAACAGAAACAATCAAAGATCGTCCATCATCATCCAATTCTCCATATAACGAAATATAATAACATATATAAAAATGTTACAGATGATCTAGGAACTTAGCAGCGCAAACATTTTAAATGCGTACGTGCCGTTCCACCATATTTTGCACTCAATGCCGCCTAAGCTGTTCAAATGAAAACGGCTTTACTCAATTCAATTTCATTTTAAATTGTGACTAATCCCTTTTGATGTGTTAACACATCGACTGAGATAGTGTTCATAGAATCAAAGAGTTTTGGGGTCCATTTGAAACAAAACTAAATGAATTACGAGTAAAAAAAAAGAGCCCTATACGTTAAACAGGACGGCTACCTCTGTCTATGACTTGATTTGGGGTGGTAAAGTAGGGTTCGTGTAACCAAATCTTTAAGTTTCCTGTTGTTTGTTTGCATTTTTTTTTCTTTCGTCTCAGTTTTTTCGAAACTGTTGTCTTTGGGTTGCTATCTAATTGGCGTTTACACATTATCTCCCTTCATATTAAAGATCAATGACTTGTTTAGGAGGGACACAGATGCTAAAAAGAAACTTGATACCAAAATATAAAATAATTGATGATAAATATCTTTAAAAGAATCGGCACTACTGTGTAGATCTACATTAACTTACACACATGCATAGACATAGCTGACTTTCTGGTTTAAAAAAAAAAACATAAAGCAGGTATAAATATATACTATTCGATAAAATAATTTAATATCAGATTGTCTAATAACATATAATATTCATACGATAATCATAATAAAATCTTTTATATCCCATGCATCACTCTCATCATGTAAAATATGTTTAAATGCCTTTGTTAAAACTAAAATTATTTGTGTTACTCCATTTTTTGAGATTGCACAAAAATTAGCAACTGAAATAAACTCGTGGATGCTGATTGGTGCTATTACAAGAAAAATATTTAACCGAGAGGTTCCCATACAATTTTGGTGATTATTCCTGTTTATGAACTTCCCATGCAATTTTGGCGATTATGTCTGTTTATGAGCTTGTGTTGTTACGTCGCTGTCTTTTTGGTCTTTATTCCTCATTTCCTTAATTGCATTCACTTTACATCGCAGTATTCTGAGTAATTATGTTTTTTTAAGTGACGAGTGAGAAAGTTTAAATTGACGAATAAAAGGAGACTAGATTGTCCACATATTTACGGAAATTGGCAACTCTTACAACTCTAACACCACGGCATACGCTGCAGAATAGGGATTTAAGAGGGTTGGCCCACTTAGGATGGAAGTCCTTCGATGTGAGCTTTTGAAATTAATGTTTTACATAAAGTCAGTTTCAGTATCCACATGCATGCCTTATATTTTTATACCTGCAACCCTATTTGAAATTTTACATTACACATACATTTGTTTGGTTTTTTTTTTTCCTGACCCTTTTATCACACACCAGCCAAAGTATGTTAATATATATAGTCATATGTAGACCGCAATTAACACTTAACAATGTTTTATTCTGATCTTTCATGTCTGATTTCTATCAATTATCACATTTTACATCTAATTTCTATGCAAGTTCTCAGACTGCTTATACATAATGTATAAAGAGAATTGATTTAACGCTACTAGGAATTACGGTCTAGTTAACAAAAAGACAACACAATGTTTCATCAATGAGAATTGAAAAACAAACACTGTATTAATTGATTTCATATAATTTACAATGGCTGAAAGGCCTACGCAAGTGCCCAAATTTGGCACATTATCTTTCTTTCAGAATCTAAGAAAAATGGATCAGACTAGAGAAAATTGCATATAATGTGTTATGACAAACATACAGGGCTAGACACTGGTGAATGTGTGCGTGTGTATAGGGGGGGGGGGGGGGGGGGGCAAACTTCTGACAAAAAACACATACATCTTTAGTCTATATGTCTAGAAGTTAGTCAGTTATTTTGCCAAATATTTGGGTGGGGGACAAAAACAGAGTGTTGTCTCTCGGCTCCTATGCCCTTTCGATGGTTTAGATTTATAGCTAATAATAATTGCAGGACATGTTTTTTATCAATGTATAAGATGATATTAATCTCTTGAAATCTATTTCATTAAATATTTCTCTGTAAAAATACTAATGTAAACACTTTGCTCAACAACGAAACAATCTCCCTGGTAACGACATCAGAAAAAAAGTGCTAAAGACTGAAGTTTTTAAATTCACTTCATTCAAGTTCAAAGATATTTTCAATAAATTAGCTCCATAAACATGCATAATGATTTTATTTTTTAATATGTACTTTGTATGAATGAGGAAAAATATCACGAGAAAATATTTTGTCTATAGTTTCTTCTTTACTTATTTTTCGTCGCGTCATTCTGTTTACAATGTGAATCAGTAATGTTCCTTGACATTAATTGTATACATACAATTTAAAATTTTATGTATTATCTCTTGAAGTTTAATTAAAATCCATAGCTATTTGGCATTCGTTCAAATTTAAAATTCAGGGTCAACAATGAGGTTTTTAAAATACATGCTTTGATTTTTAACTGAGCTTCACAAATATCAAATTAAAATATGCTTATGATTAAATTCCGAGATTAAAATTCGTATCTATATATGAAAAGATAATAAACTGGAGGGTCCATCAGAAGAGAATTTATATCTCCAGCGTAAACTAAAACTTCATAAAAACCACAGAAGTCAAGTATCAACATTGAAATGTATTGTTGAGAAATTTTGAAAAGTGGGGAGATAGTTCATTTTCAAAAGAACAAATCAAGCGTGTCCAGCAATTATATCGTTAGAACTTAAATCCATAAGGTATATTTCTTTACATATAAAACTTTGTATAAGCGCTGGACAAAATTAAGATTGAAATCCATTGAAGTTTAAGTGCAATTCGTTATAAAGAACACGTATATATATATATATATACCTAATGATCTTAAAAGGTAATTAAAAATACACCGTAAATAACAATAGGTGAATTAGATATCAAGAAGTTGGACGAATATGTATATAAAAAAAGAAGAAAAAAATCTATAAAAATATTCCGTACATTGAAAATATTTTAAATGTTTTAGATAAATAGTGCTAATGAACCATAGATTTTAAAAACCTTAGTAAAATATCAAATCTCACTTCAATTAAAGGACATGTCATGGTGTGTTTAATTCAATAGGTAACTATACAATGATTAAGAATGTACAAATGTATATCACAGAGTAAGATATTGCAGTATTTGATCATACATAACTACTATTATATCCATAAAATATTATAGTCAAATGACTAGTTTAGTTCCATAAACTCTAAAGGAATAAAGCACTTTTTAAACAAACATCAAACTATTCCATGAAATTTCTTTAGATATTGTGTGTAGTTTTCTTCACAAGTTCGTATACTTTTCAAGAAATAATCATCATCGTCTATAGCCGTCATTAAATCTGCTTGTACAACACACAGATTTTCGAATTTTTCTATTTCCGGTCGCATAACGCTTTTGGAGTTTCTACACCCAGCGGAATCGAAAAGTCGGATGTCAACGATACTATCATTTTCATATTTTCTAAAATTGTCATCGAAAAAAATATGCTGGACCCTGGTATCAAAAGGGTCAATATACAAAGGTTTGGCGGTAGAATACATGTATCCATTGTCTTGCCAATACCGGAAGTCGTCCATATACCCTGATATTCCCTGAGATTTTGAAAGCATGTTGTAAATATCCCGATCATTTTTGAATTCTTTAACCGTCGAGTCGTCCATGTACGTCATGAATTCAATTGATTGATTATCACCTCGCTTTACCTTTCCAACTAACTGGTTTACCGGAAGTTGAAGATCTTCCGGAAATCCTGGATGGTTCCCTGCCAGTCCAAATTTAACACTTGATATGACATTTGCGGTATCCAATCCATATGTTCTGAACACAATTGCAAAATCCCGGCCGTCCTCATGAAGTTGGTGTATTGCTTTATATACGGAAGGCAGTATGTAATGATAGTGCTTGCCATCTGAACCAGACATTGTTAATTTCCCTGATTCCGGAACTTCCGAATGTTTCCATTTCATTTTGTCAATGTGTGAATTGAAATATGGTAAAAAACCCTTGCCAATATCACTGTGAGCGAAATCGCCTGTTGCTATTCGCAACATTGTTCTGTCTTTGGGAGTTTTCACCAATTTTCTTTCTAAATATTTATAAAAAGTAGTTGTACCCTCAGCAGGAGGTGTAAGAGAAGGGGTATATGAATGCCATCGCCAAACACCATTTTCAAGATCTCTACCCCAAACGACGCCTGTCAAGAAACTGTTCAGCGCTTGTTCCATAGATACATTCGTTACTGAATCGGAAACTAGAACTGTATTCCTGAGATCAAAATGAACGACAAGTTTACGTTTCTTACCGTTTAGTTCCACACTACCATCCTCCATTTTGGAATCACAATTGTCTATCGGAGAAACAAATCCCCCTTTAGGGGAACTATTTGTGTCGCTATCTAGGGTCATAATGTTTCGACCATTTTCCATTCCAAAGACATTTGATTGAGCTGTTTATAATGTCCTATATTTTATAATGTGCGTGTCACAGGTAACATTTTAATAATGGAGTCTTGTCTTAACTTGATTCCAACTCACCAATCAATACTAACGAAGGTTTTTAAATCGGTAACTCTATTGATCAACTGTAGAACTGTAATGATCTATATATACGTATTACTCTGTATTTATATATTCAAAGTGCCTTTTAAATCTACTGGGAAAATCCCATAGGTTGGTGTTGAAATACTTGGATAAAGGATCTTATATATATTCGATTCCATATTACCGTATATCTTCTGGAAAGATGACTTTTTTACACTAAACAATACAATCAAAACTTTGGGGAAGGTATTACAATAAAACAAAAATATTAAAAAAAATTTATATAAATTATACTTTCATCGACTTATAACTCTATAAAGTCCAAATATATTTATAAAGGCAAAAGTATACAGTTTAAAGCACCGCTTTTTTTTTGTAATTTATTCAAATGCAACATCTTTTTGCGTAAAAATATACTTTAATATATTTTTTTGTAATTTCTGATAGGGTCTGAATGTAAAAAATCAAACTATGGAATGGTAGTGCTGAACAAATTTAACAGAGGAAGCGGATTCATCAACCGGAAGCAAACTTTGTTTAACAGTCACAGACTTTTTCTTCAATGTAACAAGGAGTTTTCAAAATGCTTTTAGAAATTAGATCACTTTATTCAAAAATCCTTCATCTTGTAGAAACAAGCATATCCTGCCTGACTGAATAAAGATTTAAAGTATACTTACTTTAAGTTAACTTAAGGTCAAAATTTGTGATTTGGATATTTGGAAAGAACAGTTATTTTATTTTATGATTCGTTTGAAAAGGTTCAAAACATGAAGTAAAGAGGACATTATACAGAAAGGCTAACGGGCAAGATGGTGAAAACAAATGTTAAGGTCCCCTAGCTATCGATCTTTATCAGTGAAAATATGTATACGAACCGTTATATAAGCTATAAAACCTTCCTGGGAAAACAAATTAGAAATTATTCTTCTCCATGTTAAAATCACACATTGTCGTCAATATAATGGAATTTTATGCGACTGTCATACAAGTGAGAGGTTTAGCTAGCTATAAAACCAGGTTTAGTCCACCATTTTCTACATAAGGAAAATGCCTGTACCAAATCAGGAATATGACAGTTGTTTTCCATTTGTTTGATGTGTTTGTGTGTGTTAATTTTGCCATTTGTTAAGGGACTTTCCGTTTTGAATTTTCCTTGGAGTTCGGTATTTTTGTTATTTTACTTTTCACAATGATGCCTTCTAACACAGAGAAAAATTTCACATCTCCCCGAAATATAACAATATTTTCCCAACTATCCATTTGTTTACCTTAATTGTGCAAATTAAGATGGATTAGTCACCGATTGCCAATTAAGACAAGAAGATGGCATGGTCTTTCAAGAAACAATAGAGAATGCCATCTTTGTGACTCAGATGACATTGGTGACGAATACCACTACATTATCCGGAAAGTTTTACACTCCTACCCAGGAGTCTGAAGAAGAAAAAGATTGTGACTTGTAAAACACTGAAAGCAGATAGACAAAAAATCTTATTTGGTTATTTTTGTAAAATCCCAAATACAATGTACATACTAATTTTAAGTTCGTGTTTTATTGAATTCTACAAATTCTATACAAGTAGAAAAGCTGTGTAAATTTAGATGTGGTATTCACTGGTATATCCTCCTAGTTAAACTAAATAACTTAAATGTAGCAATTCACATGACATGCATGCGGTAAGTCTATTTATATGTATCTTCTATTCTCTGTAACTTTGTACATGTATTTAGTTTATTAGAAAAGATTCGCAAGTTCAAGACAGCCCATAGCAACGATTTGAGCCTCGGAGTGTTTACTAGATGTCGATCACGATAAATCTGTGCATTAAAGAACACAGCTAATAATAAACTATATAGACAAAGAACTCTAACAAATTATGTCATAAGTTGACTGGCAATTTGACCATAAACTACAGATACAATACAAATATCTAGACAAGCATAATTTGTTTAATGGTTCTTTTCCATTACAATGAGTGTTTGAAATCTGTGTTCAGTATGCATGCTTTCATGTTATGTTTTCTCTGCACAACTTTGCGTTTGCTTTTTACTTCTGTCCTCTTTCAGTCATTTTGTTTATTTAGATTGTTATACTGTACTACCGAATAATTTGCCCTATTCGTACATGATTTCTCCTGGCAATATCATACATAAATGTATATCTTTTTCTCTTTTTATTTTCTAAATGTTTGTCTTTTTCTGTATTTTACCATATTAAGATTGTAGGCAAAATTATCATTGTACTAGTATTTGTTAGGTTTCTTTGTCCCTTGGAGCCTGTATTTTGCTGATATTTAACTCGCATCTGTCAACTTCCAAGCAAGGACCGAAGGTCATAAACTCGGCAATGTTAAACGTAGGACTTCGGAAAAGATCGCAGAGTCGACGAATTTGCTTCGGAAGTTGCGCATCTGTGTGCTTCAATGCACAGATGTGGCGTTATTGATAACTTTCAAGCTTCTGCTTATACAGGTGGTATGGGTCTTTTTTTTTTTTTGATTGATAAAGATCTTACTGTGAGTTTGATATGTAGAGCAGCAATACGATTCGAAGTATGTGAGTGTGGAGATTGTTTTATCATGAATCAAATTGATTCCCCACCAGTTCTTTTCCATTGTGAGAGACCAATAGATCTCTTCACCCTGACAAGACATTATAATAGACTAAAACAACTGCCCAATCTTAATTTTTACCCCCTTTTCCCTCTCTCTCTCTCTCTCTCTCTCTCTCTCTCTCTCTCTCTCTCTCTCTCTCTCTCTTTCGAAGAGGTAATTATAAAAACATGGATGATATTTTTATCATTTCGTGAACAATACTAGTAATGGTTTATTTAACGGTTCAGGTACCTGCCTGTCTGCGCTGTCGTTCTTTTTTCTTTTTGATTTTGCACAAACTGAGTCTTAGTCTATCCTCATACATTCAAATTCAAAAGCCATTATAATATTCTCATACATGTACGTCAATACGAAAAGTTTTCCTCCAAAAAATCAATTCCGATTCAATGAAACATTGATTATCCTATCGTGTCTTTCTTCATTAATAAATAATCATTATTTCTCTTGTCAGGATTGAACAAATGTTTGATGTAGTAATCTGATTTGACCCTAGTCACCTTATCATATAATGCACAATTATTCAATATTGACAAACACCAGCATAATACACTTAGTATCAATCAATTAAGCATTTATTAGTCACTGTACGTAAATACTTCTCAATATTGCGTGTTGCTTTTCTTATTATCTTGTATGTTTATTTTTCTGTTTTTCTTTTCTTTCTGTAATATATGTATTAATTCGATATTCTTTAATGATTAAGGTTCCACTGTGGTTTAGGTTATGTCACAGAAAAACCGAACAAAAAATACTTCAAGAAATATCCGCATTTTCTATCGATTATTTCCCCATATTTGTTTCAAAGTTTAAATGTATGTGTTTATTTAGATTAACCCTATCGTGTCTTTCTTTGTCAATGAATAATCATTCATTTCTCTTGTCAGGGTTAAACAAATTATTGGTGTATTGTGAATTTTCCTTTTCTATGTAGCAACATTCCAGAAGCGCCTGCATATGGAGTATATATCTCAAAGTTGATACGATATTCTAGAAATTGCATTTCCTATCATGATTTCTTGCTGCTTACTAGGTAGCTATTGAACCAAGAGTTCCAAGTGGTGAAGTTGATATCATCCCACCGAAACATATGGTGTAGGATCTGCCTACTACCCTTCCGGAACACCTGAGACCACCCGCCGTTTTTGTTGGGGTTCGTGTTGCTCAGTCTTCGGTTTTCTATGTTGTGTTTTGTGTACCGTTGTTTGTCTTTTGGTCGTTTTCGGTTTTTCTGCCATGGCATTGTCAGTTTGTTTTGACTTATGAGTTTGAATATCCTTTTGGTATCTTTCGCCTCTCTTTTAATATCCAAAATAAGAAAAATATAGGTTATTATAACATCAGTTGAAAATTATACAATGATATCTGCATTATATTTGGTAGCATCGCCAATTTATGATATTAAAATGAACAGTATACAAACATTGTGCACATATGTCTGTTCTGAGCTTATGAAGTCTGTCGACAACACATATGCGTGGAACAAGGATTTAGATGTTTCAGCAGTTTGTTTTATACAACTTGAAGTTTAATGAAATAAAATCAGTAGAATATGCATGATTTTCATCAAATGATACAATAATATCAACCTAAAGTGCAAAAAAACTAAAACGTATTGTACCGTATTGAGACCCAACAATGAGCAAAGCAAACACCAATCGAAATTAACTTAGATATCAGATAAGATCGATACATATATATAGGGCAACTATAACAATATTGAGCAGAGCTCACAAATTAATGCCTTTTACCCTATTTCAACAGATTGGTAACATCTGTTTTCCAATGGGAAACCTCATAATCCATTTAGATTTTAAAACAGAGGTTCACAATGCCATATGGTACTAATATTTTGAGTTAGTTTTATTGAATTCTAATCTTATGTTTAGTTGATTAAGTAAGGAAGGACAAACAGACAGACGGACGGACGAAAAAATCACTATAAACCTCCATTTCGTGGTGTGACTACATAGTAAGTAAAAGCAAAATATTTGAAAGAAAAACAAAAGTGAAAAATATTTTTTTCAAGATTATTAATGTTGGCAGAACACAAAACCAATTACACAGAACTATGTTTTAAGTGATTGTTATTGTTATTGTAACCTCTGTTCAATGTTATCATAGATAACATATTTTAAATTCGTTTTGTAAGTTTTGTTGCTATTTTTTAACCTGAGCTTATGTAGCTGCTCTTCATATAAACAACGCGGTGGTCTCGTGTTTGCCTTAGATGACATATATTGTGGATTGTCGTGGTTAAAACTCTGGCCCAGTCAAACTGAAGACTTTTGAATTGTATTTACTGCTTCTCAACTAATAAAATTGAGAATGGAAACGGGGAAGGTGTATAAGATTTAGAGACAACCCGACTAAAGAGCAGAAAACAGCACAGGGCCACCAATCGGTCTTAAAACACATTGAGAAAACAGCCCAGGGCCACCAATGGGTCTTAAAACACATTGAGAAAATCCCGCACCCGGAGATTGGCTTTATCTGGCCCCTAAAAAATAATATATACTAGTTCAGGGAAAACTAAACTAAACTAAACTAACACTAAACTCCGAAACATATAAATGAACCAAAATTAAAAAAAAAACGCAATGACTAACAAAGACCAGAGGTTTTAATTACGCGGCATTTCGGAAAAAAAATCAGAATGTGAACACGTTCAACTCCGACTCAGTATGTCTGTATAGTACATATCAATATATACAGAAAGTATTTGCGCCATTCAGTCACCAATTTATCTGTCATTGACGCAGTCAATTCATTATTCAAGATTATACTTTAAATTTTCTGGACCATGATTTGATTTTGATTTTTGGTGTTTTAACGCCACTTTTAAGCACCGCTTTTGGGCTATTTGGTGGCGGCCAGTTTTTATTGGTGGAGGAAGCCAAAGTGCCCGGAGAAAACCACCGACCTTCGATAGGAAAATTCTGGACCATATAATATCTATATATAAATAAGGAGGTATGGTATAATTGTCAATGAAACAACTATCCAACAGATCCCATAGAGTGTGGATGTAAGCAAGATGTTTGAGTGTATGTCTGTGTGTGTGTAATTGTGAAAGGGAAAAGGGCCATATGAAATTTCCAATGCGCTCGGGTCGTTTCATAATTTTAGGTGTTACAAATTGTTTCATTTTTTTTTATGTATGTGATATTGTTTATGCTGTTATTTAAATTTTCTTAATCACTAACATAAGAGCGATGTCAAAAACCAGTATGTAAAAGTTGTTGATATAAATGGCCCCGGTCCACCTTCGTAAATAAGTATAGGTTTTTCCTTGTCCCAAATCAGCCAGCGTTAAACTTTAATCCATGTTTTCTTTTCAACTTAGTAAATGGAATATCAATAAAGATTCGTACTTTTAAATTTTTAATCCATTAAAAATACAAATGCAAACATGTTTCTCTCAAAGTAAAATGTTGTGAAATGTATGTCGTATTCAAAATGAGACTATTACACACACTCTAGTGATATACTATAATATGTTTGAGATAAATTATACATAATTATCATAACTTAAAAAATAAATAAATAGAAAATAAATTATTCTACAATTACGTTTGGTCAACCATGTACACAATCTATTTATAAAAGCACATTCACACATAAAATTACACTACCAAATAAGGTTACTTTTGATAAAATAATTCATGGAAACATTGCTACTTAGAATGAAATGTTTTTAATAAAACTTTCCTAAGCCCCTTCTCTCCCCTCCATTTTCTTATCCGTTCTTTACTGAGCAAAAGAAAATTTCAAGTGGGTAACGATGCTATTTTTCTAAAATTGTTTTGAAATCAAGCGAGTTTTATTTGTATTATCATTTTGTCTACGGGTAGAGTACGTCCATCAAGCTTCCATTACAATCAGCCCTTTGATGAGTTTTTTTTTAAACAGAACGATAACTACCATCTTCTCACCACACATCGACAGCAGTCATTGGTTCAGAGTAATAACTGATTTTCTTACGTGTTAAAGTTTATAAAACAAACAAAATAATTTAGGAAAGCAGAGTTTATATAAGATGATAGTGCTGTACAGTAAATTGTGCGGATTCTTAATATGAGACAAAATAAAAAGCCTTTTCCTAATTTTTTCTCTTTTATTTTGGCAAGGATAGATGGAGCCGTGGTCTCTATCATTTATTTGCTGTCTTAATTTTTTTCTCATGAAGAAAAGCAGAAAATCATAAAGGATCTTTATAGACTTTTGTCATATATGTGTACGGTATGTCAAAATTAAATTAACTTAAGTGTTTATTTATCATAATCATTAGATTTAAATCTTTAAACTTTTTCAATTCTGTATGAATTTAAACCAATCCTGACAAGTTTGATAACTTTTGATAAACCCTACGCTGATTAGATATGTCTCGTGTGTATTTTTACCACCATATCTGTCCGGAAACATTGCACGCGGCATTTTTCCATTATCAAATAATAACAGAAAAAGATTCTACCACTTTACCCTGTTGATTGCAATATTTATCCACTCCCTATAGTTCCATTGTTGAATTTTATAGGTTTTCTTTGAGGTCACAGTCGACACAACATGTTTTAGGAAGCAAGTAGGGGGAATTTCCATGCACGAAAGGTTTTTAGTGTTTATCGTTATTTTAGCCCCAAAATATAATTAAGCTCTGCAATTTATTGGATTGTACCCTAATAAAATATCAATATTTAGTAGGAATAGCATTGTACTATAGGACCTTGAATTCCTAATTCAATTATTGTGACGCCTATAGCCGGTTACGAATGTGCAAATATTTTGAAAAAAGAAGATCTAAACATCATTTATGCTTCCGTTCACAGTAAAATTATCCATTGTACATTTAGTTATTCTATTGTCATATTAAGTTTGGCACAGACATTACTTTGATTTAAAGAATACTTAAATTAATAATATATGCAGAAAGTGAATGCATTAAAGAATTTGGCACAATTTAATATTTACAATAAAGGCACACGTAAAAATATTGCATTTTGAATGCATATGAAACTTAATTAAATAATAGGAAGACATAAAATAGCAGATTTTTTTTTTGTGTAATATTTGTTCCCCTGTAATGAAATTGTTTTCTATAATTAATATTCTTCTGTTTCTTCTGCTTCTTCGCCTTCATCGGTGGACTCGACACCAACTTCTTCATAATCTTTCTCCAAAGCTGCCATGTCTTCTCTAGCTTCAGAGAATTCACCTTCCTCCATTCCTTCAAAAGTTTATTAAATTGATAATTTAATGTCTATCATGATTAATACTATCAAAATATATTTCCTCTTCTACCCTTTTTATGTTTGTGAGGGTCTAGCGCATAACAATGGCAGTAGACATATCCGGTATATTTGTAGATAATTTTAAAGAAGTTTTTGAATTTATAGATGTTCTACATGTATTCGTTACTGCATCCAACTAGACTGTTAATGAACTCAGAAAAAAGATACCATCTGGTCACGCAATACTATTAGTATATATTGAATAAAGTAAATTCGAGTATCTCCTCTTTTACATATTCTAACGAGATAATGTTCCTGTATACAAATCTTAGGGTAGTGTTCTACAGCTGTGTAAAGTTTCAACAACGTCCGTCAAGTGGTAAAGGAGAAGTTGCCTTTACCAGGAACATGGACAGACAGGCGAACGGACACTTGTGCCACTTGTACCAATTAATTCATTCTAACACATTGTATTAATTTTTATTCACACCAGTCGACAATACTCGTAATCACTTTCATTCGAGACCGAAAGATTAGGATGCCAAAAAACGATATATTTACAAGTGTCAATACCAAAAAAACGGCCTAAATAATAAAGCAGCTAAAATCTTCTGCTAAATGTTGAGCTGCATGTTAGTTTTTGTACAATGACATAATTCATAAACTTATAAAGTAACGATGAATCATTTTAATCATACGTTTACCGATTTATCATTAAAGGTTGGAATCCAAAGTTTGCGGAAGATTATTGGAGATTACATAAGTGTTGTTGATAATTACCTGTCAAAGGGCGACAAGTCAAATTTTAAATTTGAAAGTTCGCACGACAAATAGTAATATTCTTTGAAAATGACTGCATAAAAATAATTCGAAATGCTATTTTTATAAAATACCTTCATGATATAAATTGGCAAATTGTATACCTATCGACCGGGATGAAGGGCTTGAAATATTAACTGCCACTGGAAAATGAAGGTGCGTAGGATAATGACAGACATTTTTCTATTGAGATGTTGCAAGGTTTTTAAATTAACGTACATAGAGCTTAGCATTCTCCCCACACGAAGCATCGGATTTTAAGTCCCCAAACTTCCGTGACCGCCAAACGGAAGCCCTATTTTTGCAATGGTTTTACTTCGTTAAGTCATGGATTCATTTGTACTCCGGTTGGGTAAAACAAAAGATAGCATGTCGGACTATAGCAGGTATCTAAAATTTAAATTAACATATCGTCCTGAATATGCATTAAATATTCACTCCTGGACGTCATGCATTCACCAATCACTAATGTTCTTGAATTTAAAGACAATTTTATTATAACAGGGAATAAGATGTACAAAATCCGGTTCTATATTCATGTATATGACTCCAAAGACACCTGTATGACAGAATTTCGGTTGAAATCTGGATAAACAAAAATGATAGTCAACTCTCTATCGAACTCCCGAATTTGTGTTTGTCATATGGACGAATCGAGTAATAACACCAGAGCTGAAAGTATCTTTTATATATATTGCTTCAAAAAGACGTTCCGAGATTTAGTCTTATAAAGTTATATCAAAACAATTTGCAGAAAACATTTGAGTTCATGCGTTGGTAAATCTTTCTAGTTTGCTGTTGTTTGAAAATAAAAATAGTTAACATACGTGTTTAAATAAACAAGGAATTTCATTAGAAGTAATATCAAGAATTAAACATACCTTCACCAACATACCAATGGACAAAAGCTCTCTTTGCATACATCAGGTCAAATTTGTGGTCCAATCTCGCCCACGCCTCGGCTATGGCAGTGGTGTTGCTCAACATACAGACGGCTCTTTGTACCTGAGCTAAATCTCCACCTTTCAAAGAGATCGTCACTCAAAAAATTAATTCATGCATAGAAATAGAGAGACTAAAAAATAAAAAGCCTTTTCAGGCTAATAGATCAGCATTGGTGATTTATGTATTTGTGATACTATAAAATGCAGGTTGTCAAAAAAATTTCAACAATTTTTTTTGAAAAGATTGGTTTTCTAGTTCTCAATATAATAGACGATTTTATATTTGTCATTTTCGGGGCCTTCTATAGTTTATTATGTCGTATGGGTTTTGCTCATTGTTGAAGACTGTACAGTGACCTATATTTGTTAGCTTATACGTCATTTTGTCTCTGATGGAGAGATGTCTCATTGGCAATTATTCCTCATTTTATTTTTAATGGTGATAAATTGCACAGGCATTTTTGTCAGATCTTTTTACTTATACCTTTGTAGATAAAAAAAAAATGAGACAAGTGCTGTGACAAATTAGGCTCCAGAAATGTAATATTTCTTTTTCTAGTGAAATCAGAATCTCAATGGAATCAATGTTATACAAAAAAGTTATTCGAACAAAAATTCTTTATATTACCTGGTACAGTGGTCGGTGGCTGATAGTTGATTCCTACTTTAAAACCAGTTGGGCACCAGTCTACAAACTGAATTGATCGTTTGGTTTTAATTGTAGCAATGGCGGCATTTACGTCTTTTGGTACGACGTCACCACGGTATAACATACAACATGCCATATATTTCCCATGACGTGGATCACATTTTACCATTTGATTGCATGGCTCGAAACAGGCATTAGTTATCTCTGATACCGACATAGCTTCATGGTATGCCTTTTCAGCTGCAAAAAATTAGATGGCATAACAACGAAACATTCATTGGGTATATAAAATGTGTCCTTTATTAGAAATTATACCATGCAAATAAAGGAATACATATTAATTTTATTTTCAAATCATAAAAATCGACATAGCTTGGACGCAGACAGCGAAGAAGACACCAATAATTGACTGCTGTTTGAGTGGAAACTTAAATACATTTCTAGATTTGATATAAATATGAACGCTACTTTCTACTTGACCGACACGCTGAAACGGTTTATTAACATTCTAAGGTAACAAGAAGCGATGTCCATCCATACCGATTATTTTACATTAAATTCTATCACCCGGCCGCGGATCGAACACATGACCTCCCGTACCCGAGGCCAGAACCGTATAGCAAAATCACCAAGTCGGTTACAGTGATAACATAATATATTGCTGGTTCAAATCCATTCAAAAGTACAGCAATTATAATCTGCCATACGTTATAGTAAACACTGTTCTTATATTGTACTGTTACACCGCTGTCTCAGGTTAGGGGAGGGTTGGCGCCTTCAAACTAGTTTAACCCCGTCACATTTTGTATGTGCCCATCCCAAGTCAGGAGCCTGTAATTCAGTGGTTGTCGTTTGTTGCTGTATATCATATTTGTTTTTCGTTCATTATTTTGTACAGAAATCAGGCCGTTAGTGTTCTCGTTTGAATTATTTTACATTTGTCATTTTGGGGCCTATTATAGCTGACTATGCGATATGGATTTTGCTCATTGTTAAAGACCGTACGGTGATATATAGATGATAAGGTCTCTGGTGGAAAGTTGTCTCATTGGCAATTATACCACATCTTCTTATTTTATATATAAGGCGGTCAGACATACCCCTATGAAATGATAAGCCAAGGCGGCGAACCTCTTTTGTAGTTGTCTTTTTAGCTGTAATATAGTATATAAAATAACACATTGCTGAGATGGTGACAGAGCAGATTGTTACCTCGAGCAAAGAATTTTCAACTGCTGCAAAGCCAAGATTGACAATGCCTTTTCGAGGGGTAACAATCTGCTCTATCACCGTCTCAACTATGTGTTATTTAATTTATAATACTGAATGTTCTGTTATTATTGTCTATTAACATTCAAATTCAAAGTAATAAAATATGACGTCTTGTACATAACATCCATCCGTATCTAATAAAGCGCACTGTTGATCAAGGGTCTCTGTAAAGGGTAATGGAGTTTTTGCCGTGGGATAGAGTAAATTATCTCCCTCGACCAATCAAAATCTGGCATTTTGACATGCATGGTAATGATATAAATTGTTTATTGACCTTAAAGAACATAGCTTTAAAGTCGGACCGTTAGTTGTCTCTGTTAAATATATTTACAATATGACTGGAGGAATTATAACATGCGCTTTTCTAATTTTTGAGACTGTAACTATGCTGACCTTTTTGTTGCTATTATGACTTTTGTTTATTTAAGTTTACTGTCCCATCGATCTGTAAGTCTCCTTTTGATTTTGGCTCAAATTTAAAGGTTAACATATGGTCTTCAACAACAGACATGCGATTTTAATACTGCATTGTAGCTAACAATTCAAGCAAAATATTTCAGCTGACTTATATAATTATTTACTGAAGAATTACCTGATATGATTGGTGCATAGGTAACCAATGGGAAATGGATACGTGGATAAGGCACTAAATTGGTCTGAAATTCAGTCAAGTCAACATTGAGAGCACCATCAAAACGTAAAGACGCAGTAATTGAGGAGACTATTTGTCCAATAAGTCTGTTGAGGTTAGTATAGGACGGTCGTTCTATATCAAGATTTCTTCGGCATATGTCATATATTGCCTCGTTATCAACCATGAATGCGCAATCGGAATGTTCCAATGTTGTATGAGTGGTCAAAATGGCGTTATATGGTTCTACAACGGCTGTAGAAATCTGCAAATAAAACATAGAAATACTTCTAATATAAAGTAACACGTTTTCTGTTTTAAAAAGGACTAGCCATTATTTTCTTTAAACTATCAATCACCAATTGCAAATGTAATTTACATTCGTCAAATCTGTAAATAAACCTTTGCGAATAATTTCTTTATTTATATGATCTGAAGCATAGCATTTTATTTGAAACAGTCGAAAAGAAACAAAACACTAATTAATTCGTTCAAATGTGCATATTTCGAACATGTTGCTTATATGAGCTGTATAGTTCGGAATTGTCATGCATGATACATTTTATATATTTTTCAATAACGCATTAATAAATACCTGTGGAGCTGGATATACAGCAAACTCAAGCTTAGATTTCTTTCCATAATCAACAGACAGGCGTTCCATCAACAAGGAGGAGAAACCACTTCCGGTACCGCCACCGAAACTATGGAAGACTAAAAAACCTTGTAATCCAGTACACATGTCAGCCTAAAGAGAAAAAAGAAAAGTTAAAACAAAGTTGTTTACGTGCCATTTATAAATGGAAGTAGTTTTTGTGGCTTAACAAATATTATATAAAACTAAACAAAACACTTAAAATATGCAATTACATAGTAACCTACGTGAACATTACGAAATGTCTGTCCTCAGTTTTTACATTTTGTGTAAAAAATGCTGATGAAAGGAGCCAACATGTCTCCGTGCGTTGGATTTATTATTTGAAATCATTTCATTTTTTTTATATTCGGCAAAAGTCGTAAAGCTGTTTGTATCTTTGGTATCTTAATATAAACTTTCTCAAGTTTTCTACTTAATTTTACAATATAATTCATCATTTTCTACTATACATTATATATATATCTTTTCTTGAATCCTTTCACATTATGTAATGCTGCTATCATATATTAGCAACCTTTGCAGGTTTTTGCAATCATATATTAAAGAAAACACGACTAAATTATCAAAGATCTTCCATAGAGTCATCGGTGTTATGATAAGACATTAAAATCAAAACAAGGAATAATTTCTTTCTACTTGGTTGCTTTAGGAACATCGTACAACTCTTTTTCAAGATAGTGTTATTAATCAAACATTAAGTAAAACATGTATTAATAGAAAAGTCTGTATAACACATTAGTTTGATTATCTATCTGTCTGATTTTTAACAATTTCTAAAACAAATATAATCATATACACAACAGTCAGTTTACCAACTTGATGGCATAATGTTGTAATTTTCAAAGCTATGAATCATTGCCAAACTGATGATTGATTGTTGTTTGCTTAACGATCAGTGGAAAATATTACATGAATATTCAGAACGTTTATTGAAACGACCCAGTTGGTATATTGGTATTAAGATATTGTTAACTGGATATTCCCCGATCGGGGGCCAGACCTGTACTTAAAAACCCCTTACAACAACTATCTGAAGTGTCCTTAGAGGGCCTGTTGCAAGACAAAAAATACCTGCTCCTATCCAACATACCTTTTTTTTAAACACAGTCCAAATTTCCCGCCCTTCAACCCGTTCGACCAACATTGAAGAACCCACTTCTTTCATTTAGTGATCATTTTGTATGGAGTATCTTCAAGAGACGTTATGCGAACAATCAATCAATCGACCAATCATTGTCCAGTTATATTTGAGTTAAATTTTGAATGTCTAACACGGACATCTCAACTGGAAAAGTACCATCTTCCCGTTTGCGGACTTTAAAAATTGAACTGACATTAGAAATAAGTCATTGTCATTTTTTTCCATAACGAGTGTTTTGTTGTCTCCTTTGAGTGTATATCGCAGCAATATATACTCAAAAATATATATTTGGTAGGATATTGAGTCTACTTACCATTTTTCGTATTTTATCTAGCACCAAATCAACAATTTCTTTGCCGACGGTATAGTGTCCCCTGGCATAATTATTAGCAGCATCTTCTTTGCCACTAATCAATTGTTCTGGGTGGAAAAGTTCTCTGTATGAACCTGTACGCACTTCATCTACAATTTAGTCCAATAATACATTTTTATACTGGGTAGTCGAAAAAGCGTTCCTTTTTATTTCGTTCTGAGTCGACTCGATCAATGCAATTCGTATGCAAACCATGTAACACGCACCGAAGGTAAAACACAAATTGTAAAGATAATTTGTTTAAGCAATAGATATAAAAGCTTCATAGTCATACAAGATTTAATAACAGCCAAAGAGATCATCCAACTATCAGTGAGATATTCTAACCTGCTTTTATCTGATAATTTACCGAAATATACAGAAAAAGTCATTAGCAATGACGATGTATTGATAACAGGGCGACTGACAACTTCAGGCACCAACAGTTTACAACGTAGCGATACAGTTGTCGACAAATGATCATGTGTAGTAAACCAAATTAAAACTATAGTTTTTGTTGCATTTACATAAGGGGAGCTTAAGGAGTATTTGATTATATGTTGCCTAGGATGTAAGTCAAGACAAATTACAATCGACGTTACAGTTCAGTGTACAGTATAACATAGGAAAAAAACATTTAGAATGCACAGTACTACATAAGCAGCCTAGAAAGTTGGGTGAATTTCTTTTTTTTATAAAGAATATACATAAAATAAACTTCATTACAATGTTGTCTTTAATTTTAGCCGACGTTTAAAACATTGTATAATGAGTGGGGCCAAACATAGTCTTTTTAGTTAGGTATGCAAAAAAAAAAATGTGCATCATCTACACATTTCTCTTATAACAGTTATACTAGGACAAATATACATACCTACAACACTTGGTTCAAGATCAACATATATAGCTCTTGGTACATGTTTTCCATGGCTGGTTTCGTTGAAAAATGTGTTGTATGACTCGTCCCCGCTCGACATAATTGCCTTTTCATCTTGCATGGTTCCATTAGGCTGGATGTTGTGTTCCAAGCAATAGAGTTCCCAGCATGCATTGCCAATTTGGACGCCTGCCTGACCAACATGGATTGATATACACTCTCTCTGAAAAAGATAGACTGCGATAAGATTTCTATTGTTACGACTGCAAATATCAAAACGTACTGTCTTTCTTCTTTTTTTTTATTATCTTCTTACAGTACAGTACTTTGTATGTACTATGGTAACGATCTTACAAAAATAAAATTTCACCGTAATTTGGAATTCACGTTTAGACGTCATGTCGAAACCATAGCAAAATTTCAGTGCAGCGATATTTGCAATTACTGTACGGATAGGAAATTATGCTCGAGGAAAAAACAAAAATATTACGCAACCAAAACATCTGTCTGTAAAATCTATAAACGAATCATCTGGCATCCGTTGTCACTTTATTGAAATTGATCTCCTGTCTAACTCAGCAGTCGACAGAACGTGCCTGGCGCGTGGAACATACATTTCACAGCTCTTGAAACGCTCTTCTGATGATTTCATGATAATGCATAAGCAAGTCCAAAATACAATAACATTACAATAATTATAGTTACAACTTAAAATTATGGCTCTTGTAATTAAGTGTTTTATGCTATCGTTATAAAAAATGCATATCAAAAGGAAGCGATTAGTAATGTTTACTTAGGCAGGTTTTTGTCCATCGTTATACTTGATAGTGATATAGTATGACTCACAGATTCATAGCAATTATAATTTTCTCTGTATTTTTAGAATAAAAGCTTGTTGTTCAAAAAAACATGTCAATCTGGTCTTGACTTTCTTTCACCATGCAGAGTGCAAACTACGTGTTAAATGCGGGATACCTGAGAATAAGATCATATATGACTCAATTGTGCAGATGAGTTTTCTCATCCGGGATTATCTACTTGATTGCCGATATGTGAAATGTATGCACGGAATGAGAATTAACTATATTCGGCTGTTTTCTGCTCTTTGGTTGGGTTGTTGTCTCTTTGACACATTCCCCATTTCCATTCTCAATTTTATCTGTTGACATATGCATATATATAATAGAGCTCGATTTGACGTTAACTTATTCTAAAAACTTTACAAAAAAGCTGATGTGAGTATCCTCAAATGGGAGGCAACATAAAACACAATAAAACCAAACAGGAAATTCAATTTAATCTGATTGTGAGAATAATTTGCCATGGTAAACATCTACTTATTTTTATGTACAGTTCAATGGTATTTTCAAACGTGGTTTAATGCAGCAAAATGATCTGAAGCGTTTGTGTGAATCTCCTGTATAAATATTTTTACAGACGTTAATTCCCTTTGTATTTTTATAGATTGTTTACTTAAGATATTTTTCCTATATAATTAGAATTACATTTGAGCGCAAGAAAATCTCTATGTGAATCGGCTGAAGGTTACCTCGGCTGAATCCCGGGGTCGAAGTTCAACATGTCAACGGAAATTTTTGCGTGTGCTTGCGTTGCTTTAGATCGAGGCCACAGCTTTTCAACCAATCGGGGAATGTTTACTTGGGGCATACATCTATTTTTACTGCAGGTTTCGACATGTTTAAATCGGGATTATAGAAAAATGGAATGTTGTTGGTAGATACAAAACAGAAAATGATGAACACTTTTAGCAAAAGATAAATTGGATCGGGGGTCTGTGAATTCACATTATTTGTACAACTCTCCTTACTCTTGGGAAGCGTGTGCTTTACATCGAGGCTTGCGTTGCTTTACATCGAGGCTTGCCTTGCTTTACATCGACGCCATAGTAGTTCAACCAATCGGGGAATGTTTATTTGGGGCATACATCTATTTTTACTGCAGGTTTTGGCATATTTTAATCGAAATTAGAGAAAAATGGAATGATGTTAGGAGATATAAAACAGAAAATGATAAATATTTTTAGCAAAAGATGAATTGGATCGGGGTTCTGTGTATTCACATTATTTGTACAACTCTCCTTACTGATGGCAAAAAATGGAATTTCCGTGACCTAAATGGTTCGCGAAAATTAATATTTTTATATATATATAGTAATAAATGCATTATTTTCACACACATGCCGTAAACTGATAATATTATTATGTACATGAACAGTTGTTTCTCAGACATCATCTTTGACGGGAATAGATCCATTTAGAATTCTTATCTTTTCTGTTTAATATACATATTGCTGTTGTCTATCATGAGATTGGAAGAAACAGACAGGTATTATCTTTCGATGACTTTCACATATACACATAGATATCATTTTTCATATGCATTCGGATACATTTGGCTATCATGTTCATTTGTATAAATTATCTAAAACAACTGCGATTTATGTATTGAAATCAATTTGGTTTAAATATACTCCTGACCAAAATGGCAGTCAAAGTCTGTCTATGCGTCAGTTGAGATATTTATTTTATTCCTATCTTATTGAACACATCTTTTGAATGCATGTTGGAATTCTTTACCAACACTCTCATGATATTGTTTTTTTTAAATTACACCATACAATGTGCTACTTTAGTTCAAATCAAATATATAATACCTAGATCTAGAAAAAGAGCTATTTATTAGCAGGACTGTGTAGTTCTCTAACGGAATTGCATCCCGTGAACCCTGAGAACTAAAGCACAGGCGCTTGGGGGCATTGGCCTCCCTTTTTCTTTTTTTTTTCGGGGTTTATTATTATTCTTTTTTGCAAATTAATATTTCTTTGGTTTTTCAATCTATTTTCATGAATTATGTGTTCTTTACCTTACCCATACTATCTTACAATAACAATAGTTAATACGTGATGCTTATCTATTATTTGTTCCATGGTAAGAACAAGAAGACATTTAATAAGTAAAAAAAGTTGCAATACCAAGGAAATATAAATTACTAAAGAAAATTAAACAAAGGGGGATCCATGCCCCAAGCGCCTTTGTACTAATATAAAAATAAGGAGATGAGGTATGATTGCCAATGAGACAACTATCCACCAAAGTTCAAATAAAGTGGATGTAATCAATTATAGGCAACCGTACGGCCTTCAACAATGAGAAAAACCAATACAGTATAGTCGGCTATAATAGGCCCGACATGAAAAATATGAAACAATTCAATTGAGAAAACTAACAGCCTAATTTATAACAAAACAATTTCCGAAAAACAAATATGACAGACATAACCCAACGACAACAACTGAACTACAGGCTCCTGACTTGGGACAGGCACATAAAGAATGTGGCGGGGTTAAACATGTTTGTGAGCGCTCAACCCTCCCCTAACCCGGGACAGTGGTGTAACAGCACAACATAAGAACAAACTATAAAAATCAGTTGAAAAAGACACTAATATTTCACATGTAAAAGATATATTTTCTGTGTGTAAAAACACTTTCGGATTATTTGCTTATCAACGTTACATATACTAGAGAAACTTATAAAACAAAGGTATGCCAGTTTCGCCTTCCTTTAATTGATATTTTATAACAACAAAAGCGAATCGTTTGCCAGGTTTTAGAAAATACATCAATTTTATACATGTCAGTTCAGAAAAATGGTTGCTGCACCAAAAAAGATAAATCAAAACCGATAGTTTGTAGAGAATAAGAGAAAACGATTCTGACAAGTCTGAAATTATCTTGATTGATTGAATGATTCATGCAGTTTACTTGTTAAGTTGAATAAAATCATAAAAAAAGAAGGTATCGTTATCAATATATAAGTATTTATAGAATTTGAAAATTTCTTAATAAAATAGCAGTATGTTAAAACATTTTCATCCTTCGTTCTAAATAAATGGACACATTATGCTGACTCCGAGCCCAATCAGTCTTTGACATGTTTTATTCCTTAATGTCGTATCCTTAGCTGAGAAACAGCATATACAAATTTTAAGGTCTTTGATTGGACCTGACCTGGGATTGTACCAACTCCTTCACTTCTGTATTCTTTAATTTTTTAGGCCATTTTTCTTAAATCTTTATACTTTTTGCCCATTATTCTCTATTTCTTTATATTTTAGCACCTCATTATTCTCTATTTTTTATATTTTTTGCCAATTATTCTCTATGGTGTAAACCCCCATCCACACCCTCATACTTCAATAGCCCAAAATGTTCATAAAAAAATATAATAATCAAAAAGGTTAGAATTTTCAATTTTGTCTCTCAATCTAAAGATAGGTTTTAAAAAGTACTTATGTAAAAATCATGCCAGGTGTATGATATAATACAGGTGATGAATGCTCCCCTATTAGTCTAGAAGAAAATAGGAAATAAAATGATGAATTTAGGCAATAAAATAAAACGAAATAAATAGGGAATGTGTCCATAGGACACAGATGATGCACCCGCTTGCATATAACGTTATAAAGTGATATAACTCAAGAACTGTACAAGTGACGCCACCAAAATTCAAACTTGATATGTGTTTTGTGGTAATAAGCATTGTGTATAAGTTTCATAACATTTGGTTGAGGCAAACTAAAGTTAGAGAACGGAAACCAATTTTGGGACGTACGGACGTACAGACGGACAAGGGTAAAACTTAATGCCCCATCCGCTACGGCGGGGCACTTAAAAGGTAAATTAAAAATAACTCTCAATTTACATTATAAGTTAAAGTTGTACTTTCTTGTTTTCCTCTTTCTTGCTGTAGTCTGAGATAAAAAACAACTCACAATAATATTGTTCTGATTTTCAAAAATCAAGAAAATAGAGTTTTTATTGTGACAAATTTATATGTAAAGCAAATGAATGTTCTAAATCCTTATTTTGTTTCAAAGGATAAAAACTCGACACTGATGAGTAGTTTGATAGGCCAAGTTAATGAACAAAAATGATAGTAAGGTTAATAAAATGTTCCACAGGGCGCAGCTAAATACAACCGCAGAGGTCGAAACCTGAACGGTTGGGGCAGGTATGGACACAGCATTCAAGCTTGATACAGCTTTGAATTTGGATTGTGATTAAATATTTGACACATCATAGTTTTCTGACACAGAATGAATGGGGTCTAAGAAAGTAAACATTTTAAATTGGACATAATGTCATATCTACCTATTATGGTCTAATATCCAAAATCTAAATACATGGTTAGATTCAGCATA